AAAGATGCTAGTGATCATTCTTTGCAGGGCAAGAATACCCAGAATTGCCTGGGTAGAGAGGAAATGATTGTGCTTCTCACCAAGCTCCCACAGTTTTGAGAGAACAAAACTCACTGGGCGTCAATAAATTATCCTGCCACTATAGGAATAGTGAATTTCCAGTCAGAGGTGCCTCCGACAGGAAAGACATATACATTCTAGGGCTAAGTGCAATTTGGTAGCTGAGGATAGACACGGGAGAAATTTGGGGGTCAATTGAAACTTGCCCCAGACTCCTAGATTTTAATTGAAACTTTCATTGAAATAATTATCAATTCATAAGCAGTTGTAAAAAATAATAGAGATTTCTTCTACACTTTGCCTGGTTACCTTCAATGGTAACATCTTGCAAAGCTATGGTATAATATCACAACCAGGACATTGACATTGACATTGAATTGATTGATTGTAGTATCACACAAGTTATTCAATTTCCTAGTTTTACTGTACGTGGTGTGTGGAGTGTGTGTGTTGTGTTGTGTGGTTGTTTAGAGCTGAAGGCTGGGCAACTTAGTGGTCTATTACGGCAGTTTGGCGCTGTGGCTCACGCCTGTATCCCAGCATTGGGAGGCCTAAGGCGGGCGATCCACAAGGTAGGAGATCAAGACCATACCTGGCTAAAATGGAGAAACCGTCCAGTCTCCTACTGAAAAAAGTATTCGAGAAAAAATTAGCCAGGTCATGGGCGGGCACCTGTAAGTCCCAGCTACTAAGGATGGCTGAGGCAGAGAATGGATGAACCAGATTTGGGGGGAGGCGGAGCTTTGCAGTTGATCCGAGATGGCGACACTGGCACTCCAGACGCTGGACGATGTACGACAGATCCCATCTCAAAAAAAAAAAAGGAAGAGAAGAAAATAAGCTATAAAATTTTGCTGGGCGCGGGTGCTCACACGCGGGTGTAACCCAGCACTTTGGGGAGGTGCGGATAGGGCTGCATGATCACGGACGGAGTTCAAGACACCTGACCAATCATGATGGAAACTCGGTCATGACGTACTAAAAATACAAAGTTAGCTGGGGATGGTGGCACAGGCCCTGTAATCCCAGCCTAACTTCTGGGAGCGCTGAGGCATTGAGAATCACTTTTGAACCCGGGAGGTCAGAGGCTGCGTGAGCCAAGATCCTCCATTGATACTTTCCTAGCCTGGGGCAACAACACAAAATCTTGTTCAAAAAAAGAAAAAACAAACAAACAAAAAAAGAGAGACTAATAATAAAATTTTATCTGGGCGCAGCCAGCAACTTTGGAGGTGCAGGTGGCGATCAGAGGCCAGGAGGTTGGAGACACT